GGGCACCTGTCTGATAGTACTTTTCTTACTTCTTTAAAAACAAGTCATTTTTTACTCAAGATATTTATTGACTCAAACTATGTATCATAAGCTGTATTAAATCTATACCAACATGATGTTCTTTAAAAAAGGAAAGTAACTACACAAAGGTTTTTCCTGAGATCATAAGAACTTTAAAAATAAAATTTAAAATGTAAAAAGAAAAAACTTAGTAACTGGATGACTTAGTCTTAAAAGAAAAGGAAGTCCTATTCACATATTTACAGATATTTGGAAAAGGCAATATTTTACCGAGGGAACTTCTACTTCTCTAAAGCAGTGTTGGCTAACAGAATAGTGTGATTTTATTTAGCAGTTGTTTTTTGAAAGGTCAGAAGACTTTTGCTCTTCTACTATTATCTTTAAATACAAAAGGGACTCAATTTAACATATCTATTGATGTGCACAGTGCATTTAGATTGGTATTTTTATGACATTTAATTATACGCTAGTCACCTTCAAAGACAAAACTAAACCAAATAGCATAATTTTGATTAATATTTGTTTAACCTATAACTCCTAAATATTAATTGTGCAATAAATGTTCATTTATTTCAATATGTAATTCATATCATGAAACTTAATTTCCCTTCTATGCACTCTTTGAAATCTAGTAAATGCCTTACAGCACCTTTTACTGAGGACACTACATGTGCTCAGTGATAATATGTGGTTAGTAGCTTTTGTGTGTGTGTGTGTGCCAGTTTGGGGGCTTGAACTCAGGGCCAGGGTGCTGTTGCTGAGCATTTGTGCTCAAGTCTAGTGCTCTACCACTTGAGCCATAGTTCCATACTCAACTTTGAAGTGGTTAATTGGAGATCAAAAGTCTCATGGACTTTCCTAAGTTGTTATCCAGGTCTTTCTGGTATGATTTAATAATCATCCATGTATTATTTTCTCATTTTTTTGAATACTGGTGGTCTACAGGAGACTATGCTTTCTATATTAATTATTATTAATATAATCCAGAATCTTCTGATTTAGGAGCCATCTATGATCAGTTTGCTTTCAACAAGTCTCAGCAGATACAGAACTGATGGAAGAAAAGAAAGTGGAGCCATGGAAATCACCCCAGCCCCCTAGGCTTAGAATCTCCAGAAGCATGCCAGCACACAGCCCATCCTGAGTGGAGACCACTTTCCTTTGATTCATGGAGGAAAGTACTCAGGAAATGGGAGGAAAGACTCCTGGGAGAGCTACAGTAGAAGAAGACTGAACACATAGGAAGAAAACCACCCTGAGCAATTATCTTCAGTCAGTTCACATTGCCAAGAGGTAACTGCCAACACCTCTCCCCCTGAGTATTGTAGATGAATGGACACTGATTGTTGATTGATTCTGCTTATGGCTATAGTAAACGTAGCATGATGAGTAACTTTTCCACAGAGATAGCGTAGTCTTTGTGAGCTCATAACCTCTTTTGAGGAAATGCATCTACTTGAGTGTCAGCTATGGATCTGACATTGTACAGAGACCTGGGGTTTAGTCATATGGACATTTTGATTACATAGAAGACAGAGAAGGTTAACAGACTTCACATCTTTGTATTGTTGATAGCCAAGTAAAATTATTCCAAATGAGAGAGAACATCTTATTTACAGCATAATCATACATCTACGTGACTCAATATAACAGTTTGGCTGGTCAAGAAAAAATATTTACATGTTTCATTTTAGTTGTTAGGTTTTTGTTATATAGTTACTTTAATTGTTTTAGTTTATTAATTGGACTATTTACTTTGATAACATTTTATAATGTATAGTATACAGGCAGACATTTAATCAGAAAATGGAATAAAAGGAAATAAAATCATATATTAAAGTATGTTATATGTTAGGTATTAAGCTGAGCATTTGCCAAACATTATAGTCATTCTCATTTAAGACAACTGTCTTTTAAATAGAAGTTTCTATGCGTTCATTGTGTTCTTTTACCTTCTACCCTCTTTACTTTCCTCTTCCCTCCCTTTTCCTTTCCTCTTTCTGTTTCTCTCTCTCTCTACAAAAAATAGAACATATTCTACAATCTTATAATCTTAAAATACCATGATTTTGTTTTATAAATTCCAACTTTCTTTTTTGACTTTAGCTTTAGGGGCTTTTTATGTTGTTTTTTATTTTTATTTATTTATTTTTTTTTGTGGTTGTGGGCTTGAAATCTGGGCTTGGGCCCTCAGCTCTTCAGCTCAAGGCTAATGCTCTACCACTTAAACCGCAGCACCACTTCTGGTTTTCTGATGGTTTATTGGAAATAAGAGTCTCATGGACTTTTCTGCCTGAGCTGGCTTTGAACTGTGATCCTCAGATCTCGGCCTCCTGAGTAGCTAGGATTACAGGCGTAAGCCATCAGCTCCCGGCTAGCCTTAGTTTTTTATATAACAGCTTGAAGTTATTTCTGTGAGTAGGTCCTAAATATACAGAGTTTCTTTATAGAAATGAGAATATTCCATGGGAAATAAGTTCAGTCAACTCTTTTTCAAGTTGTAAGTATAGCTGTTAATGGCTTTATCCAGCTGACTAGGAATTGTGCATTTCTTTTTGCCTTTCATCTCATTAAATAATTGCTTTACAGACCGAATTTTGTTAAGTGGAAAAAACCACTTTAGCTTATCATTCTAACCAATTCTTTTAGTCATCAATCAGGTTGATGACAAGCAAACATTCTCTTCATTTTTTTTTCTCATGGGGCTTGAACTCTGGGCCTCAGCGCTGTCCCTCAGCTCTTCAGCTCAAGCTCAAGGTGAGTGTTCTACCACTTGAGCCACAGCACCACTTCCAGTTTTCTGGTGGTTTTTAAGAATCTCATGGACTTTCCTGACTGGACTGGCTTTGAACCAAGTTCCTCAGATCTCAGCCTCCTGAGTAGCTAGGAATACAGGTGTGGCTTTTCTCTTCATTTTATTTATGATCCAATAAACCTTCTGTTTCATGTTTGATACATATCTACCATGTTCACATCTCTCAGGAATTACCTCTGTAGTCAACTCTTACATTCCACATTTCTAATGAATTTAGAGTTTCCTTCAAAAGACAGCCAGTATTAAAAAATAATATTACTACATGATCTTTCCAGTTAAACACAGACATCCAGAAATAGATTCAGTGCCTTCTAGACAGGATGTAAATTCTAAATTCGAGTAGTTACAAAGTCATGGATCAGAAACAATGACCAGGACAAAGGAAAACAAACTGTTTCCTCCTGAGTTTAATCTAGATCCTCAGGCAGATAAAGGTTCATTTCACTCTAATTCTCTACCTGTCCATTCTCAACTGTCTCATGAAAGGTACTTATGCTTTGTAAAGTATTCCAAATGAATAAATACTTACACATTCCCTCATCTGTCTTTTGGATGGAAGATTCCTAATTAGATGCTGGGCCTATTATTCTACCTGATATAAACTCCTGGACTTTCCTGAGTACCTTCAAAGTTAGAAGTGAAACTGCCATTATGTTCATGCCTATTTGAGATCATCCAAATGAAGGAAAGTAGCTGCATAGTTTGGGAAAAAGGCAGATGAACATAAAACAAAACAATAATTAAAGATGCTAACTTCTAGTTGAAGAAATAGATGTTCTTCTGAAGTCCATTTACAGCAAAGATAAATGTAAGAAAAGTACCCATTTTTGACCTTCTACTCACCATTGACAGGGGTCCCTTAGCTGGAAACACAACATAATAAACCCAAATTTAATTCCATCTGCACTGAGCATGCATGCATGAAATGGCCTACACGTTATACTCAAACAGACCCAATTTTGGCTTGGAGACCCCCACATACTATTAACTAGGTTAGTAACTTCAGTAAAAATACTTGCAACTCTTTCAGTCAGAATTCTCATATTAAAATAGAAACAATACTACTGTAACCTAGGGTAGCTTTGAAGGGAAAGAGCCAATATATTCCACAGTGCCTAAGAGTATTTGGAACAAGACAGGACTCAGTTAATATTAGTTCCTCTTTCTCTCCCATGTGTCTGTGTGCAGCAAGTTTGCTTTTGGCTTTGAAATATGAAACTTCTCCCTTCCCCCAGTAGTGCACATTTTTCAATTTGTCCCAAATCTAAGAAAAGACATTAAGAAAAGACTGTAGAAAGACAGATCCTTTTAACGTGGAAGTTTTGGGAAAGAAAAATTAACAATTTTGCTAAAATCTTATATGAACTACATTAACCATTGAGATGACAATTTTTTCCCCTGCTCTTTTACGGTGTATGTAAAATCCATACCATTTTCAAAAGAAAAGAGAGAAACAGCAAGAGGGAAAGAAAAAAAAGAGAAAGTCTACCCTTATAGTAAATAAAATGTTACTATACTCATGATCTTCCCCTTCATCTGCTGTTAAACAAAATTGATAGAACAATATGGAAATAAAATTCTTAGCTTAACTGCATCCTGTCTTAAGATGTTAAGAAATTTTGACATTGATAAACATGCATTGTGCTCATAAACTGTTTTGTTAAATGGCAACACCTTGGTACAACTACTTAAATGTAATAAAAATAAATTTTTAAAAATGATGTTAAGAAAGTTTAAATTGTACTTTACAGATGGAGGAAAGGTGACAGTTGGAGGGAAGTTACAAGTTAAAGGGATAGAAACCACTGGGGGAGGGGGGGAAAGTATCAAGAAGGGACGATGTGTAGAGTTAAATGGAAAACCAAGCGATTTAAATTGGACACAAACAAAACACATGTCTGTCTCAGCTTTCCCCAAGATTTGATTTAGAGCATGCATTGGGGACACCGGGAAGGAGGTCACTAATTCTTAGTCCCAACCCCAACTCACCTAACTGGAGCTGTTCGCATGTCCTGCCTGGGTTCTCTCCGATCCGGCATCTGTAGATCGCCCCGGGTTTGACCACTGAAGCGTTGGCCAGCCAGTTGGCAGTGGGCGCCCCCACCACCAGCCTGAAGCGGGGAAAACGAGCACGTGCGCTCAGACGCCAGCCGCGCTGCCTTCTGAACTCGGGGTCCCCTGGGCTGTGCGCGGCCTGCAGCGGGGCGGCATCCCCTGCCCTCCGCCCCTGGACTCCTGGCTCCCAGGGCTGGCAGCATCCGCACGCATCGCCTACGCTGCTACCCCTGGAGAAGTTATCTCCCTCCTGGGCAGATCTCCAGCGAGCCGGCTGTGGCGGCGGGCTCCTCCGGCCTCCTCCAGATGGAGGAAAGTTTGAAGGAGGCGGGGGGGGGGGGGGACGGGCAGGGGGAGGGTAGGGAGCTCCGAGACACCTTTCTCACGCCTTTCTCGGCGAGGCGGCGAACCCCCACTCACCATCGGTTCGCCCCGTGGCTGTGCAGCACCACGGAGTAGCCGAACAGCGTGTCGCTCGGACCCTGGTACAGCAGCGCGCTCTCGGTGTCCACGTTGTAGGGGTGCCCGCTTGGGACCCCCAGGCACAGCAACAGCATCAGCGCTTGGCGGACGGCGGCCCCTCGGGGGCCGGGGCCGCGCCTCGCTTCCGCAGCCATGCACTCCGGGCGGGGGGAACATTCAACACCGAACGGTCATTGCAGCCCCAGAATAGCACGGGATGCGACGTTCCGCCAAGGCGAAGAAGCGCCTCAAGAACGCGAGCGCAGCGTGTCCGGCGCCGGCGACCGAAGGCGGAGGGGGCGGGAAGGGGGGGGACCAAGGGGAGGGGAAGTCGGTCAGCCGCAGGCGGGTGATCTAGGGCAGCGGGGGATGCCGCCGCACGCCCTCCGGATCCACGTCCTGTTTCTGCGGCCTGGGAGTGCGGGTGCTCGCGCGATCCCGGGGCGCAGCTGGGTGGGGTCCTGGGCGTGGTGCAGAGGCGCGGGGTCTGACTGCGTCTCCCCTAGCGCGCAGCTGCAGGGGGCGCTGGGGGACCTCGGCTGCGTGGGACGCTCGTCCCGGCCCGGGTCTGCCAGCCCACAGGGTGGGAGATGGCTCGGGGTTCCCGGGGCTTAGCCAGAAGGGATCTGCAGGGACCCAGGGACGTCTCCCTCTTTTAAGGCAGGTTGGGGCCTGACACTTGGTCTGCCCTAGCCTTTGCCTCCAACTTCAGCCCCAAACTTCTGGATGGGACCGCAGTGCAGGGGACTGTCCCATCTTTCTTTACTGGTTAAGTGCTATCTGGGACTTTTCGTAAGTAATCGCCAGAGAAAGCATGCAGTTGGCCATAGCCCGACGACACACCAAAATAAAGAACTCTCTGAAGTTTGGCCCATGGGGAACATTTTGAGTGACAAAGACGTTATGGTTATTCTCTTCAAACTCACAGCCTGCGCTCTTTCATGCCCACTTCCTTCCCCTCAACACTTCCCCTTCAGCAGGAGTGAGCAGGCAAAGCAGCCGCCTGGGGCTAAAAGACAGTGGTTAATACACAGCAGACTCCAGCAAAGGGGAGCCCTAAAGGAAACACTGGCTTTCCTCACTTAGCAGGTTGCTGTGCCGTGTTCTGGACGTGGATCCCCTTTCCATTCGTCCGATTGCCAGGGCCTACACCCACCCGCCATACAACAGAGGGCCAAGGCACCATAGGCTTCTGGAAATGCGAGTGAGGTCCATAACTTCAACACACTTGAACTGGCTGGCGAGTTTCAGTCTATATACATTGGGTTTCTCCCTTGAGCAACCAGACGCAGCTAACCCAGCATGCCTATTAGGCTATTTGCAGGAAAAGCAAAGGTTCCTCCTATTAATTTTGGTTAAAAGAAAGAAAAATAAAAACCACGAAGGAAGAGAAGACTTCATCCAAGGGTGTGGTGTGTAAGTAAACCCATCCTGAAATAGCACATCTTTGAATGAAAATGGTAGCCACACAATTAAAGCACTTGCTCTCTAACTCAGCATATTTCACTAGACAGGCACAGCCAAGCCCTCGGCATGCCACCCGAATGGGGCAGGACTGATAATAACTCTCAGAAAAAAAGTGTCTGCCAGATGGTACATAGGCAAACTCTTACTAGTACACGAAGTTCAGGCGCACTGGGGACACTTAAAAAGACATTTGAATAGTTGGTGGAGTGGGCAGGCTCCGCGATTGGAGAGGAGGAATGAGGGTGGCCACCATTAGGGCCAGGTGGAGGAGCTGAGAGACTCCATGGCTTTTTAGCTGCCCACACCGCAGGTAGGTGTGGTATGGGGCTGACTAGGACAGCAAGACCCCATCCTGAGCCTCACGGGCATGCCGGGAACTTAAAACTCCACTCTGCTGTTGATAGATATGAAAGTATTGAAGAGTTTGCCTTGATCAAGATCTGAAAACAAGATGGAAAATTTAGTCCTGGAGGCTTCTTCATTAATAAGACAGACAGACTGATGGTTCACACTGAAGTAATAGGCACAGAGGGAAAATAGATTTAAGAGAGGAGAGAAAGAAAGGAGAGGGTGGGAGGGAGAGATAGAAAAAGGGGAGAACTGGACAGAATTTGTTACTAGGAGTTTGGACAGAAAGCTAACATGGACAAGTCATGGGGTAAAGCATGAGATATCAAACTTTGAGGTCCTGGGCACATTGAGAAATGAGTTTTTAGAGAACTATAACCAGAACCAACCCAAGTATTTTAACTCTGACAACAGACAAAAGAAAGGAACATGAACTTTTTCTTGCAGTCTACTAAGTATAGATCAATACTGGCAATGCCCAGGGTGAATGGTCCTGATCTCTTTCTTTCTGCAGTTGCACAGGTTTTGATTTTGTTTTTTCCTGAATAGGTCTGCATTCTGATTTTTAACCCACTCTTCATTTAGGTCACATTGTTGTTGCTCTGAAGTGATTCTTGGAATTAGTGCAATATCAAAATCATCCCAGTCTTTTAGATACACTAGCAAAACCAATGAGCCTTTACCTCTATCTTTTTCATTATCTACCAGAAACTTCTGTGATAAAAACCTTTCTACACAATTGTGTTCAAAGCCCAGTTAAGGTAAGTAGATGTGAGGGAGGGAAGGACCAGCTGGAGAACCTGGGAGAAGCTGGCTGGACAGAGCAGTTATACATGGCGTGATGACAGGGTAGTATCTTATTTCTGTGCTTATGATGTTCATTTATTGCCCATCCAGGAACAGCCAGCCTGCATTACTTCACATGCTATCATGTGAAGTTTCCTGCCCCCTAGGGCTTAGAAATAGCTCATTTCCCCTACTAATAAGAGGTTGTAATATTGCTTTTATGAAGCCTGAAGGTACGGCTCTTTCTCTAATGTGTGGAAAAGGAGGGATTCCTGGACTTAATTTATCCAATTAATATATGACATATGATATACATATATATATATACACATATTTTTGTGCTTACTGTCTGCCAGAAGCTACATTAAGGATTCAAAAGTAGTAGAAAAAATTGTCTATTTTTTTATATAAGCAGTCCTCTTAAAGACATCTAATAAAGATGCTTAAATTTTCAGTTGTTTTTTCATCTTGAAAGACTTGGTTTTCTCAACAAGGTCTTTTTTATGCTTAAACTCAAGGTCTCTCACTCTTGCTTGGCTATTCCACTCAATGCTGGTGCCCTAACACTTGAGCCATATTCTGTTTCCAGCTTTTTGCTGTTTATTGTAGATAAGAGTCTTCAGGTCAGGATCCTCAGATCTCTGCCTCTCTGCCTGTAATCCTAGAGATTACAGGTACTCAGTTAACACCACTTTTTAAAAGTCTCACTCCCTCTTTCTAATAACCCACTCTGAGTTTCAGTCATGATAAATGCCAAAAAGCCCCAGGGTTAAACTCTGGCTCTTCCTTCCACTTTTGATTTCTTCATTTTTAGGAGATTTAACCTATATCTTAAGTTGTTAAGTGATATTTAAACCTCTAGACTTCAATTCTCCAAGCTTGACCTTTCCTGTCAGCCCCAGGTCTGTGTATTTTGTGTGTACTTGTGCCTGGCTCTCCTGGGTCAAGGTATATAGAACACATCTGAAATAGATATCTTAGTGTCTCATTGTATCTGAACTGTGAAAAGTAGTCATAGATTGGGCTTTCTATCTCTAACATGGAACATATCAATAACCAAGCCAGTCAATTTGACCAGTAAAATATATTCAAAACTATCTTCTTCATGTTTCCTGGTTTTTCTTTTTGCAGCAGTTCCTGCTCCTGGGGCAGAATATGAAGACTACGTTTCTAAATAACAAAACATCCATCTTCTTTTTATGTTCTGTACAGCTCCTGCCCTTTCCCAATATTCCCTAATATCACCTGGGATTCTTGATAATCTGATACATTGTCTTCCTTCATGCTTCCCACACCACCAATTTTCTACATAAAATCTAAGGTGAACTTTCAATCTTTTAAATCATTTATACATCAAATCCTTCAAATAATTGCCTTTTGCTCTGATAACACAAAGTACAAACCACAGGATCCCTCACCTCTTTCTGAGCCTTACCACTAGCATTTCCCTTTGGATCTCCTTGCTTTGCCGTATCTACCCCTTTAAATTTCCTTTAAGTGCCTCAAGCTTCTCATGAGTGATCTTTGCCAGCCCATCTTTGTTCTCTGCCTGGACATATAGCCTTGGGTATATCACATGATTCTATTTTCCTTTATTCCAATTCAGTTTTAAGGTACCTTCCTACAGAGGATTTTCTGCCCATTTTATTTTATCTCTTTATTTGATCATTTTCTGGCATTTCTGAGGGGCACACTCAGCCCTCCTCCCCCACATTGCTAGCAGGCACTCCATAACTAGAGCTACACTGTACAATTTATAAATAAGTCACAATTTTATTCACTCTCTGCGAATCCTCTTCATTCTTCACAGGAATCATATATTTATTCATATGTACATCCACCTGTAAAATACATTCATTAAAAAAATGTTTTTCCTCCCTAGAATAAGAGGGCAAAATCCATGTCGTGGGTTGTCACTGTACCAACTATAATATGCTGCCAGACAAGAAGAAGAAGATCATGTCACTCTGTGACATCACTAAAAATGTCACAAATGGAGCAGATCATTATGTTGAGAACCATCATGATAAGCCTAACAACTCAAAAAGCTATTATATGGTCTCACATATTTGTGGATTATATATCTAAGATGATCATGATGATGAAGATGATAATGATGATGGTGGTGCTACTGGTGGTGCTGGTGATGCCCTCAATAATGTGACAAGAATGTAAAAGAAGCTTGAATGTTTGTGTGTGTGTGTGTGTGTGTGTGTGTGTGTGCGCACATACATACATGCACACCATAATGAAACACACTAATCCCTGTGTGTAAAAGGATGCATTCAGAAGTTAAGAAATGGGAATACATGTGCATGCATGTGCATACATGGAAACAGAATCCAACCCCTTTATAATACAAATATATCTTTATTCAAAAAGGAATATAACAAATGTTGAACTAAACAATTACAGTTTCTATTTGTGCATTGCTACATGCAAAATAATGTACTATAAGTGTTGGAAGAGCCAAAGTTATGTAAAAAAGTACACCAAAATCTGAAACAGTTCCACAATTTAAAAGGAAGATATATGTCTTTTATGATGACATAATGTAATCAAATATGAAAGCAGAGAGAGAATTGCTAACAAATTATGTAGCCAAAAAAAAAAAAAAACAGCCTTGAGACCTAAATTTAGGTAGAATCAAGCAGGGAAAATAGAAGAACTGATATAATACATTGAAGGGAAAGTCTGCAATGGTATCAGGTTAAGTGTAGGTGACATGGAGAAACAAAATCACTTCCAGACCAGATGACTAGGATAATATTGGTATTGTAAAAAGAAAAG